TTGTTATCTGATAGTGATAAGCATTTTTGATCCAGGGGCGGAATCAGCTTTTATAACCTACTCTTGGCTTATCAGTAATATGCTGGTGGAATCTGTTTATTTCATGCAATGCTTGTGTGATATAGTGCAGAAAAGGTAATCAATGTATCACTTCTTTTACTGCCAAAATATCTCCCATCAGAACAGGTGGCATTATACCATTTTACAAAAACGCAGATTCATATAAAAAAAATCTGGAACAAATCTTTAACTTTTACCCCTAGGCGTGGAAACTATTCAATACATGACAGAGAAGAACTGTTTTTAATATTAACAATATTTATTTTACACTTCCGCAAAATTTTCAAAATTGGCAAAAACGCTTCTTTTAAATGAAGCCAATCATTACAGATACCTTCCATTTATCTTTTCTATAACACAGAAACATATACGTCTTTGGGAATATTAACTAATAGAATTTCAATTTGCCAACAGGGACAGACTAATCTAGGCATCAAAATTTAAAGTAAGATGAATTTCCTGAAAATATATTCCCCTCTGATAAATTATTACCAAGATGTTCCGATTTTCTGCACTGAAAATATCTCTCCGAGAAAAACCTATCATCAGACAGCATAGCTAGCACGCCATTAACCTGGGGGTGTTTTCCTCATTGCAGAAATGTTTTATGACAAGATATTGCGGTTTTATATAAACAAAATATTTCTAAGTTAAATATCATGATACAAAACATCATTGAAAAATGTTCTCAGTGGTAAAGGTAAGCTATATCATGCACAGAATCTTTCTAACAGTCAATATTTGTTACAAGTGCGTAATTTGCAAAATCTAACTTTTAAAATTTCTGAATGATAAAATTGGAATGGTTACAAAATAGAAATTTCATAAAATCAGAAAAAAACAACAACAACATAAACCTATCAACAAGGCCTTGTACTATGAGTAATGGTAAGTCACTGTGATGATGCTATGAGGAAATGGCTATAAGAAATGATAATTCACAGCAATAATGCTATGAAGAAGTAATTCACAGCAATAATGCTATGAGAAATGATAATTCACAGCAATAATGCTATGAGGAATGATAATTCACAGCAATAATGCTATGAAAAATGATAATTCACAGCAATAATGCTATGAGAAATGATAATTCACAGCAATAATGCTATGAGAAATGGTAATTCATAGCAATAATGCTATGAGAAATGGTAAGTCACTGTAATAATGCTATGAGAAAATGATAAGTCACTGTAATGATGCTATGAGAAATGGTAAGTCACAGTAATAATTCTATGAGGAAATGATAAGTCACTGTAATGAAGCTATGAGGAATGGTAAGTCACTGTGATGATGCTATGAGGAATGGTAAGTCACTGTAATAATGCTATGAGGAATGGTAAGTCACTGTAATGATGCTATGAGAAATGGTAAGTCACTGTAATAATGCTATGAGGAATGGTAAGTCACTGTGATGATGCTATGAGGAATGGTAAGTCACTGTAATAATGCTATGAGAAATGGTTAGTCACTATGATGATGCTATGAGGAACTGTAAGTCACTGTGATGATGCTATGAGGAATGGTAAGTAACTGTGATGATGCTATGAGGAATGGTAAGTCACTGTGATGATGCTATGAGGAATAGTAAGTCACTGTAATGATGCTATGAGGAATGGTAAGTCACTGTGATGATGCTATGAGAAGTGTGAAAATTAAAGTAAACAAAATATTATAGGACATTATTGTCAACCCTGCAGCTATTTATAAACTTAACTTTCTCGAATATCTCCAATAATGAATTATTAAGAAACTTATTGAAACTGTCAATAAATCTAACAGCCACATTTACATGAGAAGGTAATCTGTTAAAGAAATTTAATGTTGGTACACCTCACTTTATATTGATTTACTTTGAATATACAATGATGTTTAATCTTTAAACCTTTAACTGTTAGTCTCCTGGAACCAAAAGTGACCAGGTTTTGCCACCAGTTTAGAGCCAGACCAGCTTGCACATTCTTAATTTAAATTTTTTCTTCTTGATATCCCTAAAATTAATAATGTACAATTCCAAAAATAGAAACTGGACCAATCCATTATACAAATTTAGCAGTGTTAAAATCATTGTTTTTGAAACCAGCAACAATCTTTCTGAAAAGTACATATTGTATATTCTAAAACATTTAATAATTCTATGAACTTTGGCATAGTGAATAATCGACTGTTTTAACACCATCTTCAATATACAGGAATTTATTTTGATTGAAAACATATGTATTTTAAACACATATTCTCCTACTCATGTTTAAAGTGGATTAGAATTGTAGAAATTTTGATTTTCATTCTAATAAACTATAAAACAATACATTAAATATATTGGCACAAGAAATTTCAGTGAACTAAACTTTTACACACCTATTCTATTTTCAAACTAATATAAAATTTTGAAGTCAATTTTGCAATATAATTTTGATTTCTTACAATGAAATAACAATGACTAATATGAAAATTTGTTTTAGAAATTCTTGCAATGGGCAAACTAATTTTTTATATGCAATTCTAGACCATGCTGTATTGATAACACCAAAAAGGTACCATTTCTAACTCAGCAATTTCTGCTGATAGCATGAACTATTTGTGACAACATCATATCTAAAGAAAACAAAGATAAAATGAAAAGCAACAACTCTATAAACCTTCACCAATCTTTTCATTTACAACCTGTCAATAAATGGTTTAATTGAAAGAAATTTCCATTTCAAATATTCTTGTTAAGTCTGACACAGTGAATTTCAAGGGAGGTAACATAGTCTGACACAGTGAATGAAGGGGAGGTAATATAGTACAACACTGTGAATAGAATGTAAAGGGAGGTAACTAGAGTAACATTCTGAGACAAATTTTTTTTTAAATAAAATAATTGTGTAAGGTGATGAATGGTTGAAACTGAATATATCAAACCATTTATGCGTTTTTCAAACCGAAACAAATAATTACAACAAATATGTACCCAAGGGAAATGTTAATTTGACAATTTACTTTATGAAATCTAAGAACAAAATAAATGAGCTGTAAATCCTATTATAAGGAATCAATGATTCATATACAGAAAACCAAGTTCAATAAGTTTGATCTATGACTGTATAATAACAGAAAACCAAAGTTGAATGAGTGCACTCAAAACAAGATTTAAATATAAATGTATTCATATAATGATGAGTAACTTATTGCAATGTAGCAAAATATTTATACACAACTTGAAGGATGTTGCATCTACAAGAAAAAAAGATATTTCTTGACAAAAGTCACAAAAATTAAAGTTTATCAGGAATAAAAAGTAAATATATTTGAGAGATGGGAATGCGTATACATGTATTACTGTGGAATTTAATCTTTTCAAATGAAGTATAATTATGTATCACTGATCTGTACTGATCTTGGCATGTTTATAATGCAGATTGACATTGTTTGTTATTTTTTGATGGTCATAGCACTATTGGACGGTCATAGCACAATACTCTTCAACAAGAAGATCTATATGAACAGTCCACACTTATAGGTTACAGTGTACCCTTTGTTAATGATATGGGATACATAGATGACAACAGAAGTACCTTTTTCCAAAATTTTGATGATCAAAATTTAATGACTTCACATTTATGAGGTAGAAACTTCTGTAACTAAGACTGCATGTCAACCACTGACAGAGTTCTGTAACTACATTACCCCCACCCAACATGTTACAACATGGAACAACAAAAAAACAACAAAAAAATTTGGCATTAAAAACCAAAAATAGAAGACATTAACAGATATCATTGAATGTTTTTATGCCTATTATCTAAAAGAATGACTTTCTGTTACAAGTTTTTCTTCATAAAGATTGATCTTTTTTGTTACAAGTTTCACTGGCAAAAAAATAAAAGAATATCTTAAGTATTTCATGCAAATTATATCTAAATCTTACTAAATCCTCACATACCTTTGCATTAAATTAATAAATAAGCTCCTAAATCAAAGTCTAAAGACATAATATAAAAAAATATCCACATTTAACAACACTTAGAAGCACAGGTACTTTGAAAATACATTCAAAATTTTCAAAATTCAAAGGTTGGAGGTTCTCCAAATTTTTTGGCGAAACTTAACGAGACATTCTGGAGGGCCTTTATCAAAGCTGGAATTCTGCAAAAATATTGACTGAAAGAAGCAATCACCCTTTTATCTGAATAATTTCTTTTGATTTTATAAAAAAAGCCGCAATCTCAGACATTTGGATGATAGAGCATACTGGCATGGGAAATAATCCATGGGAAGTAACTCAAAATGGATATTGTATAGGTTTAATAAGAGTTTCCTCCCTTTACAAGGATAATAAATCATGTACCGTTTCATTAATGATTTGCAACAAAACCCATATAACAACAACAAAGATATAACAAACAACATGCAGTATGTAAGCTCAGGTGTAACAATTTCTATAATCACTGGGTCTAACCAGTAAATATTTCTTCACATGGGGCATTTTCATCTTAAATTACAAAATACCTTATAAACATACAAGTACAAATAAAAATGTAATATTAAAAGCAGTTGGTAATATTTGTTGAACATGATATATAATATTGACAACCATGAAAGCTTTATGAGAGAGCACTTGTCATATGCCATTGTAATTTGGTATGAGTTACAGCCCTTTGTTAGTTTTAATTTCAGTAAAAGTGTAATGTATTGTAAAATATGGCATATAGCAAATGACAGAGAAATCTCTCACAAAATAATAATGATATAATCCATTTCAAATTAAACCTTTTTCCACAAATAGTAAACCTATTTCAAAGCTTGAATCAAGTATTTACAATATTATGCTCTACATAAGGTACAATGTTCAATTGGCTATAATAAAATAAACATTCACTTTTGTGATATGGAAGCAAATATTTTGAAACAGACTATAAAAGCATGACAAAATGATGGGTGAATGAAAATCTTCAACTTACAGGTATGGCTGGTTTCTTCTGATGATAGCATATGAAAATGACGATTGAATAATGAGAAATGATGATTGAATAATGATGATTGAATAATGAGAAATGAAATTTGTTAATCCTATAAATACTGGCTTCAAAAAACTTTTTCCCTCAGATCTTTTAATTTTATCAAAATTTTATCAACCTTTTTTTTTATCAGATAAATGTGGAAATTATGTACATGTATGTTGTATCATTAAATGTCTGGGGAAAAAAATCAAGTAAAAATAAAGCAAAACCTAAAGGGATTTTAATATTTCAACTGGGGGTGGTGGGGATGGGGCAGATACAATTTTTGTTATGTTTTTACTATGCCATCTTCACTGAAAGTAAGTTTATTGAATTGAATTCATTTCTTGTTCATTCTAATAATCAATACTTTTCAGGACAAAAGTTTGTGAAGCCAGTGGGGTTATATATATTAATTGATACAATCATGCACAATATGGGAATATCGAGCCTTGAGTACACATATACATGTAAATATAATATATCAAAATATTCATTCAAAATACAACTACACATACAGTATATGTACATATCTATGTATACATGTGTATGAAGACAAAGTACACATTACATAAAATAATAATGTTAATAATAACAATAAAAACTGTACTAAATGCAGCAAGCCTATTTAGAGAGCTGGGTTTTTCCTAGGCTCATGGCTTTTTGCACTTATCAATAGGGCTGCAAGCATTAACTTTATCAAAGACTAGTTAGGGATTCTTTATATCATAGCTGTAAAAGGAATTTAAATTTAAATTTGTAATAAAAAATATTTAATTCCTAGAAATTTGCAGCGATTTGCTGAATAAAAAAAATGGCATCATACTTTGAGAACTATCCCTATGTCTATTAAAATGAGCATTAAATTATACATGCATTGAAATTAAGGCTTGGTTATATTTTATAATTATATTTTTTTCTCTCTCTCTATGCTTTGATATTTCCCGATTTTATCTTTTCCCGCAACCATGCAATGCATCTGCGCATGCGATTTTAATATCTGATCAATGTTAGGGCGCGCAGATTTAACAAAAACATAAATAGAGCCCTACGGTGAAAAGGAATAAGAAAACCAAAACAATGTGTTATATGACCCAAGATTTCCATATAGTAAAATGTAAATATAGTTACGATACCTGGTATTTTCCTCCCGGCAAATACACATTTGCATATGGATGCTTGAAAAAGAGGGGACAGACAATTAGCATCCATATATCGCAGTACAATACATGCAAATAAATCAGAAACAGCTTAACAAGCAGACGTAAAAAAGATGGAACACATATTTTCCTCGTGTCACGAGTATACAACCAACCTTGGCAAAAAAACAAGTCATTAGCACAAAAAGAAGAGCTCACATAAAAAGATATTACATACTTTTATCATTATGGCTATAGCATACAGACAAATTAAAGCAAATACCATGTTCTTTTGCTGAAATAACACAAAGCTGCTGCTGACCTTATTTCTGCAATAAATATCTTCTATTTGCCAGTTCAAAGAATTGCCGATACAATGTTTTATGTAAATAAAGGTAGGATTTTTAAGACACCATCATAATAATCTTATATTTAAGGGACAGCCAATAAGCTTTATTAAAACAAGAGAGATTCCTACATAATTATCAAGCATATTTTAAGTATTTGCCAGGAAATCAAACACTAAATAGGCTAAAAAAATCAGCATCGCAAACTGGTCTTTCCTGAAACACGACTAATTTTCAATACAAATTATCCAGGATTTATAACATTTAAGCATGATCATGATTTATACATTATAAAATAGTTCCTCAATCTTTTATAATGCCAAAACTTATTTTCAGACTACTGATGAAATCTTCTTTTCTGGCAAATTCATTCCATATTTTATAAAAACTAAAGTATCAATTTGTCCCCATTTAAAGAATGAATTTATTCACAAAACAAAAAATTAAGGAAAATATATAAGCTATCACTACAATGTATGTTAAAATAAACAACAAAAGGGCTTTAATGGCAAAACTAAAACACTTTTAGAGCTCTAAAAGTTGAAGTGCGGCAGGCAAAAGATTTGTAAGAAGTATCCCCTCTTTTTCAATTTGATATTCCAAATGCATGTGGAACAAATCTGTCACGTTAGTAGATTTCAACTGTAGATCATGCATGACACACTGACCCAAAAAAAAAGGCTGAAACTTGCTCAAGGCTTAATTATACTAGAGACAAATAGAAAGACCCTTTCTTTATAGATGTACAACTTATATCAGAATGATGCCAAAAGAAATTGAATTGCAAGGTGATTTTATTAATTTGTAAATATGCAGGTTTAAGAAAATAAAGCAGTTTTTAGCCAACTTTTAACAATAACTTAATATCATTAAGTAATACAGTGATTTATTCATCATCTTGGGCCATCAGTTGGAAACATTTAAGGTCAGTAAAGATCACAGTACAGCAAATAGTTCTGTACATCGGTGTATTCAAGTAACAATGTAATAAAATAGAAATTTAAAAGATAACAGTTAATGAACTTTTTTTAAAGCAATGTTGTGAATAAAATTGCTTCACAAAAGATGAAAGGTCATGTAATAAAATGTAATGTGACCTTCACAAGCTTGAAAAGATGAAGGTCATGTAATAAAAAAATTTATGATCTTCACAAGCTTGAAAAGGTGAAAAGTCATGTAATAAAATGTTATGTGACCTTCACAAATTTGAAAAGATACAAGGTCATGTAATAAAACTATGATTTGTAAAAGTCCATATAGATGAAAAATCATGTTAAACAATTAAGTTATAGAAAGTCACAGCAAATGAACCTATATAAAGACAGGTATCTGTAAAACCCTAAAGGTCCCTAGAGGTGAAAGGTCATGTCTGAGTATATGACTAGGATCATTCAAGGTAAAGGAAAAATAGTGGGTGGGGTACTTACATTTGTGTTCAGCTGAGTGCTCAATGTTGTCACCTTCTCGTAGGCTGATTCAAGCTCCCTTCTTAACTTTCTTATCTGTAAAATATTCTTTTCTTTAGCTACGAAAATAACTTTTTAAATATTTATATATATATAATTGTCATTTACTATATTCATATAAAGGCATCAAACAAGTGACCAGCTGGCAGCCTGACACTATTGTTGAATCACAGCTGGCTAGCGTGCTGGCAGTGCTGGTGATATTCCTGTGCAAGGACAGGTTGCATGTCAGCGCAAACTAAATGTGAAATCTGGGCTGATTCTTTACTGATAGTTGCTTTATGTTGGTACTATGACACTGAATCCTTCTTTAAAGTGACATTATGCTCATATATTCATAGTCAAGTTGAGCTGAATTGACTTCATATTTCAAAAGATTGACTGTTATAATGATGTTTGACCGACAGGTGATATTTGAAAATGCTTAGGATATAATGATAAATCTGCCTTAAATATAAAAAAAACTGTCACACTCTTTTTATAAACTGAACGGTACAAGTAAATTCTAATGGATATTTACAGAAAACTACTTAGGATCTGTGCGTTATTTATCTTTTTTGCGAAGTCAGTTATTAAAGAAAAAGGAATTATTGCAAAATGAAAAACTATTTATATACATTGTATTCACATGTTCACTCACTATATACATTGTACACTTGGATGGGCATAATGTCACTTTAATATTAACAATGTACTGTTTATTATTTAACCCTTTGCTACCATTATAGAGCCAGGATAGCCTGTTGGTAGCTCAGGTTTGTATTTTGATACTGAAATTCAAATGGACTGCTCCAAAGTAAAAGCAGTGCATTTTACTGGATTAAAGTAGGATATGCTCATTTTACATATTTAGTAAACTTAAGAAAAACTTTTAAAAAAAAGGGAATAAAGTTTTCTCATCCTTTTAGACTCCCAGCAAATATTTCAGCACATGATAACATACCTCAGCCTGCTGCTTCTCCTCAGCCTAAAAATAGCAAAAAATAAAATACTTCACTATCCACACAATAAAATATCTAATGTTGCACATTTTAATGAATACAATTGTACATCCCCCCCCCCCCCCCCCCCCCCAAAAAAGTTAAAAAGATAAAAAGAAGCATTGCTTTAAGAATTATGCCCCTTGTCTAACAACTGCACCATGTCAAGATCAGCAAGTATTCCAAGTTTCATAATAATGATTTCTTTAAAATCTTGGAATAATGGGCTACATTAAAGTTTCTGCACAACAACAACAACAACAACAATGATGACCATAATAGTTAGAAACAGACAAGCTACAAATATACTGCAGCAAACAAATGTTTATTTTGATTGAAGATTGGGATATTAAAAGCCTCCAGACAAATGGTTCCCATCTTCATATTTAGTTTATGTGAGTATTATCATTCATGTCTTATATTTCTGCTTTAAAATCATCATGTATAAATCTGTATATAAAATGATACATATAAATTCTGTAAAAGTGCAAATTGTTTGAATAACCTCTATCTCACTACTAAAATTGGAAAAGAAATAATATGAGCTGCGTCATGACAAAACCAACATAATGGGTTTGCAACCGGCATGGATCCAGACCAGCCTGTGCATCCGCGCAGTCTGATCAGGATCTATGCTGTTCGCTTACAAACCCTATTACAAGTAGAGAAACTGATAAGTACAGCAGGAATCCTGATCAGACTGCGTGGAGGCGCAGGCTGGTCTGGATCCATGTTGGATTGCAAACCCATTATGTTGGTTTTGTCGTGACGCGGCTCATATGTCTAAATTTTGCCGAAATGAACAACTTCAATTTTAAAACAATGAAAGCAAGATGTGATGAATCTATTTATTAACCAAACAAGAAATCCCGAGGGAGATGTTCTTAAAAACTCTGGCACCATGTTGAAGTATTTTCCATTACAAAAGGCACCAATATTAACACTTTAAAACCCTTTCTTATTTTTCTTGGGTAGGGATATAAATAAACACTTAACATTTGAGTCATAGTTGATTTTGAATACTAAAGATAAGATAGGAATATCTTTTATATATGTGGGTGGTGAAAGAGTAGCCAGATCCAGTTTGAGATTACTTTTCTAACTATGGTTTATTTTCCTTGCTTTTTGGGGTTTTTATGCATATCTTAACAATTTTTTAGGTCATATTTGGTCAGTGGATTACCTAACTGATTTTACTGGATAACTAACCAGTAATGACCAATTTCTAAAAAATGACCGACTACTTATTCCACATATATGAAATCAGCATTGAGAGACAAATGACCATTAGACACAATATCCAAGATCAACGGTCAATGAGAAATTTCACGTTGCCCAAGTAATGAACCATTTAAGGTTATAGTATACCTTATCATATAACTTACCGTTGAGTAAACAGATGACGAACTGGAGACCAATGACAGTGACGATCCATGTACTGAATAATACAAACAAATACATGTATAAATCAACTGTAAAACAGGTGAAAATATTTTTTTTTCTATCAAATAAAATAATGAAGCATCCCCTGCTTCCCTGAATTAACTACCTTAAATTAAGCCAATGAAGATGAAAATTCAAATTATGACTCCAATGTACTGGAACATCAATATTGTAGATAAGAAATCTCTCCAAGACATAATTCAGATAAATTCTCTAGTAACATAACACAATAATTCACCAGCAGGTAACAGCAAATTTAAAGAGAAAATGTCTACATTTACACAATATTTAGAAAATTATCTGCATCTTGGATTAACAGAGATAGATCATTTTTGAGCTTCACAAACTTCATTTTGTTACATACATTAACACTGAATACAGTGAAACCTGTCTATAAGACCAGTTTTGGGGGCATGATTGTGGTCTTTACTGACAGAATGTTTATACAAATTAAATCAAGTTAAATTAAATCAGGTTTAATTTTACAGTGGAAAAAAGTGTAAGCCTGATTTGTAAGATTATACACTATTTTCATTGATGATAGTCGTTCACAACAATTGAACCACATTTTCAAACAAATGATCAAAGAAGATACTCACAACTGTCTTCATCTTCACCTCGGTTCATTTTCGTCAAAGCTAATGGAGTGCCATACGGTAGACTACTACTAGTGTTAGATCGCACCAATGGCTGATTCTGAGCCTGGCCTGATGCATAGGTGGTCATCGGGAATGTAAACCGTGACGACGCATGAGAGCTGTTGCTAGGCGTTGGCGAGGTTGGAGGTGGCGGACTTGGAAGATCTTCTGAATGTTGGTGTTGTAAATGCTGAGGACTAGCATATGCTGAATCAGATCTTGTAGACTTCATACTGTTTGATCTCTGCAGTCCGTAATTTCCCGATTGTGCCAAGATTCGTGCACTAGCACCACTGAGTGCACGTGCTTGCTGAATTCTGGCATTTATACTGTTAACAGAGCTTAAAGCATCCATGCTCTCACTATCAGATACATGGTGATATATATGTCGCCCGTCTGCTGTTACTGCACCACTGTTTGTGCGAATCCAGCCTCCAGTGTTTCCAGAATTTCTTGGACTTCCCATTGCGAATTCCAATGGCACATAGTTTCCAGTAAAATTAGTCCCAGGTATATGAACTGAACTATATGGGCTATTGTGTCTACTGCCATCTGGCCTACTGTATGTTGCATGAGGATTTGAAATAATTGTACTATTAAACTGGCCATTCTCTCCAGGCTGAGGTATCATTGGCCCCATCCCTCCTTTTCTACGACCTAGAGAATTAGATTTAAACATGTCCATATCAGTTTGAGCAGCACTTGATGATTTTTTCCTTCTCTCCAAAGAGGCACTACTATATTCAGGTATCTTGCCTCCATCTTGTTGTCCACCAGGTTTCTGGGTTTGAGCAGCCATACTTTGCTCTTGCCGTTGTTTTGAGGTAGCAGCATGATATTGTTGAGCTATCTGGTCCAGTCCATGCTTTGCCAAACGCGTTCCTACAGCGTTTGAACCAGGTTTAGCAGGACTTCCAGCTGGACTTCCCATGGGTCCGCCTGGTGCACTTTTGGTGCTTCCAACAGACCCAGTGCTAGTGTTACTTAAAGGTCTACGATGATATCCATAACCTACTCCACCACTTTGAATTCCACGAGCATTTTGAATATTTTGCATTTTCCGCACACTAGATTCATACACATGAGACTGGTCTGTATTTGTTTCAGAGTCACATTTTGTACTTGGATAACCTTTTTCACTACCAGCATAATCACCAGTTGTACTCTGAGATCTAAAGTGAATATCTGGCTGTGAAAGTTTACGCAAGTGTCCTAACTGTTCTTGATTAAAGCCACCAGGTGGCTGACCGGGGCCTCCTCGCCATTGTTCATATCCATTATACAAATAAGCATAATCTGCAGGATCACTACTTAATAAACGATTATTTTGTAATGAGAATTTTCTAAATCCAACCTGCGGCACTTCTCCAGGTTTTGGAACGTCACTCACATAATCAGAACCTAAAAATGCACTAGTTCCTAAATTCGGTACCCGTTTTCCTGGCGAGGCATGCAAGTTTGCATTTGTTAGATTTCTGAAGAGATCTTTGGGGCCACGTTTCAAGCTACTATATGGGTTACCATCCTGTCCTGATCCTCCAGTTAGATTTCCCTCATCGGTACTTATTTCATTTATTGTGTCGCTTATATCTCCACTACTAATTGAACTACTGTCATCAAAACTGAAAAATAGAATAATTACAAATATTATCATAAATTATATGCTTCAGTTCAAACAAACAAACAATAATACTGTCCAAACCAGGTTGTAGAACAGTGTTAAACATTCGGCAAAACAACAGCATAAATCATCTTGATATTTCAAATCTCTTAATCTTAAAACTCAAAAGATTTTTTGAATTAGTTTTCATTTAATCAATAAAATCACATAATCCATTATATCAATATTCTCACAAAACACCCACAAAGCTAAAATTGTTTTGTTGCCATTAATGTTAAGAGAAACTACATGAATTATTCACAAAAAACCAGCATTTTCTGCTGTTAAAGCACAAAGCATTTTGTTACTGCATATTTAAAGTTCAAACACCATGTGTTGTTGCATGACAACTGAACATTTCACCATGTTAACATTGCATGCCATGTTTGAACACACCCTTCACATACAATTACTACACAAAACATGTCCCAACTTTTCTTAAAATAAAACTTCTGCCAATTAACCTTTTGACTCATAAACATTATGTGAATACTTCATTTCTGTAAAGATTAAATAATGAATGAGCCTGCACAAACTCTAAGAACTGTATTAATTTTAATTAATTTGCCTTGATAGCTGTCCATTTGTATTGATTTTTTCTCTGACAGTATCTTAAAATTATGAAAATTTTCAAAAGAGATGGAAAGAATATCAGTAAAATAAATGAGTTAAATATTATGCCAGGCTCAGGCAAGCAAGTAAAAGAACCATGTAGTTATTTCAGTTTTTTTAAGCATATTTTTCATAAACTTCATGGTCATCACTTTTACATCCAAAATTTATAAATCTCTTCACAAACCAACTTAATAACCATCTTAATACCAATCCTTCAAACAAAATCAACATAAAATTTCATGAGAAGAAATTACCAAGATAAAAAACAAACAATTTTTCTATGATTCAGAATAAAGTTCTATAAAGTGATCCTGATGCTAAATCTCCACGAAAAAGAAATAATAACTGACAGAGCTAAAGAACATGATGGCTAGTTTTTGACTTCTCAAAGGAACAAAGCAGCAAGATTTTCCTCTGCATGATAACAGCTAATAATCCCATAGTTACATGTTAAAACACAAAGAGATATCTAGTAACCATTCTGATTCACCAAGCATCAAATCATTTACAGAAGAAACTAATAATGACAGAAATACTCATTGATGCAAGTACTTTAACATTATTTTCAATGGCAATTGTAATAGAAAGTCCAATTTTTTTAATACAATGGTAAAACTCAAGACTTCATTTAGGTAAGCTTATTTGCATCATTGGCAGGTAAACTAATATACATGTATATATCATATACGTTCATTTTCATTATTCTTTTTTTTATGAATAATACACTTAACATTTTTAATATCTTCAACTAAAAGGTCTATAGTAAGATTATTTAACTTTAACATGCCTCTTCAAAATTAACAATGACAATGTTAACCTGGTTCCTTAATATTTTTCACTATAAACATTTTCAACTGGTATCATGTGACTTAAGTCCAAATATCAGGTGACTTTCATCAATGGTCATGTGACCAATATGGGAGATCATGTGACCTTAAAGTGTGGAATTCATCTGCAAGCTTACTCATACAGAAATGACACATCAATGCTGCTATCAATCTATGGAAGTAGCTAAAAGCTCCACTTTATCAGACATTTCCACACTTTAATCAGCTTCAACTGTCATCACAATTGCCATATAAAGCAATATTTCTGTCGTTCTGAGTAAATAGACACTTTACCCGATTACAACAAAACATTCTATGACAGGAAATTACTAAAGAACTAGCAGACTGTAAACACTTCTTAAGCAAAATTAATACAAGTATCTTAAGTCTCTAAAAGCTTTATCATCTATATATATGGTCTGGTAATTTTTCAGAACTATTTACAGCAAAACTGTCCAATATTTCTGGTGCTATTTTTTTCTTTTCAGATTATTTAAGGCAGAGCGCTAGTGTCCTTGACCTTTGATAGTTTCTGTAAATTATATATTCTTAACAACTTTAAATCGAAACAAGAAAAGACAAGTAGATACTCAAATTTCTTCTTGTGACCTTGACCCAAATGCTTTTACAGCTAGAATGCATATCTAATTAAAGATATGAATTTATTTTTATTTTTTTTATCCAAACAGACAAATAACCCACAATTTAATTAGAGAGAAAGCATGATACAACAATCAATTTAATCAAAATGACTGATGAGAATTTAAAAGCAAACATTGCACAAAAGAGATCTCCCACAATCAAAAAGTTGACTTTAATAATAAATATAAACATGATCATTCATATTAAATATGGTCATTTTAAAGACTTGTATTTCATATTGTTTCAGTAATGGAACTGTCAGATGTTCCAATCAAGCATTCAAGAGATCCAGATCAATAATGCTAACGCATAACAGACTGGTTACCCACAGCAAAACACAAGTCTGTCTCTCTTGAAGAGTTGGTATGAGTCACAGTCTATTATTATAACTTTTCAAGCATGTATTGGAATCGGATTTTGCTGCATGTGCACAAATTTTCTTCAGTAATGACAGATTTCCTATTAGTGCTTGACAAGTTTTTCTGAGAAACTAATCCCTTATTTAAAAGCTGCAAAGATGGCGTAATATTAGGGTCTAACAATGTCAGCTGCTTCTAGTTCCAGTCCTCATTAGCAAGTTAACAGACACAAGAAAGAATATTTTAATATGTATGTTATACACTATTCCTTGTTTTAAGTTTGTTCAATTTGAAGCATTTCGATAAAAACAAAGGTTGGCACCATGATGCATTGTAACCAGTATTCCTTGATTTTTAACCAGTACTGACCTATTCCTGTACTGTACATCAGTGGCCCAAGACAAAATTCATCACTCCAATTATTTCAGAGGACAAAGCAAATGACATAATGAATCTACTCAGTCAAACATTTTCCTTAAATTGAGTAAAGCAAGTAGACTATTGAAATGAGCACAAGCATTTCTCCATAAACAAAAAGCATAGAAATATATATTATTTTGAGTCTAAAGTAAAAGGAACTTCACTTCAATTTTCAAACATTATTTTACATAACAATCCTTCCATAAAGTCTCAGGGGCATAAAGGAATTTCTAATTAGTATTTGATTATTCTGACACTTTCTGACATCAAAGGACATCATGACAGAAGATCAACCTGTGTGTCCATGTTCCATATAAAAGACTCCTGTTTCCAGACTATGTGCTTGACTTGTCCATTTAATATTTATAGACATGAAGAAGAATATGTAGATTCACAGGTCAAATGTTGAAACAGTTGCATAAACCCCTATTATATAGATGCTTGCAAACTATCCCTTTCCACATAATTTACAAATTCTAATGATGTACACACTACTTCTTACATAGGAGATCATTATTTTTCATAAAGCCTTCAGCATCATTTTCCTTATAAGCCGGCTTCATACGGTTAACCCTTACCCTGCTGGTGACTACAGAATCTACTTGTGCTACTAGTGCAGACCAAGCTTCCACCACATCCATTGAATTTATAAACCAAAGGTCAGTATGAATATACTAAATAAAAGTCAAACAATGTGATAGTTTGACATCATCAATCTGATGAGATGCATAAACAAAATATATAATTAGTATCTAATCATTTCACACAGCCAAATATTTACTTTGTAAAAACTTTAAAGTCAACAAAAACAAATAATATTCATGAATTAACAAGACAAAAGAAAGTTCCCATTATCATTTTAATATCTATAAAAAAATGTTTTTAGAATATTTTTATCTCTCTTACAGACAGTGTTCCTTGGCATGTCACAAGATATTATGTTTTATGGGTACTACCATAACCTATTTGATCTCAATTTTCTACGAAATTCCTCTTGAGGTTTTATTATTAATAGAAAACATCGCAGATAAAAAATTTGTTGTGAAAGAAGTTTTGCCGAGATTTTCAAAACCAATCAATACTTTCAATTTTAAATCTTATATGTTCTGTATGACTGAATAGTAATTCAAAATGCATCAGTGACTCATGCTATTGATGGGTCTGCATCAGAATAACGGGGAAAATCTCTGTGACAGAGGTAAAATTTTCTAAGAGCGAAAAAACTAAAATGATATAATGCATCCTCATGAAGGATTTACGGATTAAGTGATATTTCTAACCTCTTCAGCTTCTTATATAGTGTTATGATTTCCAAGAAACACAATGTTCTCTATTTGACAAATGTCAATATTCACTCCAATATAGTATGTTAATTCATTAGCAAACACTTTCAGTTAAGTATGCTTCATTAGGCTACTAAATTCTGTGCATGTATGAGCACATTTTTTTCCTAGAATTATTTGCAGCAAACTAAACCAATACAGAATCAATACAAGTGGTGAACCTGATCAATGCAGGGTTTAATGTCAACTTATTTTCAACTTTTCTGGAACAAAAATATTTTCTAAACATTACAAGAAAATGCCTCTTAAAACTAGAATGAATAAAAGTCAGGAAATCTAAGGTTCTTTGTGCATTCATCCAAACTTATTGGGTACATACTGGTAAATAATGTTTAACTTGTCACCAAAAGCAAACATGCAAATGTTACACCCGATAACTGTTAAGAAAATGATGATACAAACTTCTTTCTTTGTCTAAACTGACAGACAAGAATGTTTACAAATAATATACAACAATTAAGTGCTCATATTCGTCCCTCATTTGTTTAAACATCACACCAATCTTATGAAAATTGCTGCAGAAAACTCATAATTGTCTGTTTATGTCTGAACAAATTATCTAAATTTGATAACATTCTTATCTATGTTTTCCTAGTGCAAACTGTTTCCATGGTGTAAATCAATTTCAACTTCCAGACACTCTTCACACTTCATGCCCATTTTCTCAGTACAAATCTATAGATATTCTATAAGGCTTCAGTGCAAACTGTCAAATAATTCCACCACCATTTAGTGGATAGACCCAATACTGTACCC